AGAGAAAAATCCAAAGAGAAAATCAAGCCACACACATTAGCAACAGGGTTTTCTTCCCTAAAATACATCTTTTATCAAATGCATCTCATAATGGTGATTTTCTATCATAGGAAAAACAGATCTGAGTTTAGATGACTCTCACTAGGCTCTAGACATTTTTTGGGTCTCCAGTTGTGGCTATGTGGGTTTGTGGTTGCAAACCTATGAAAAATAAATTTGGCCAGTACTGCAGGTGCATTTCCACTAAAATCACATTAATTGGCACTTTTATGTGCACCACAGTAGTCCTACAGTCTTGGAATTTTACTTGTGCTGTGATTATTTGGACTAGCTCCATTTGGAAACTTGAATTACTTACTGGTCTTAGGTTAGACACTAGCATTGGTCATCTCCCTTTAATTCTCAATACTACCTCTTGACATGAAATGCAGAAGTTTATTTCCCTCAGACATTTTAGTCTCTACAATTTAGTTCAGTGTATGACTTTAGCTTCAATGTATAATTCAAGGAATTTACTGCTTTGGGCACCAGAAGGGATTGACCTTTGTTCTCAAGTCTGGAAAATAAATACTTAAGATCAAGTACTGCAGTCAAGATCTAAGTGTCTGTTTAGTTAAATGTGACTAAATTATTCAAGGCTGAGGATGAGAAGATTTGTATTGCTGTACATCTAATGACCTGATGGAGAAAACATTTTGCTTTCTAAGCACAAAAGCGTGTACATATTTATATTTAGAAAATGCTTAAATATCTTGTCAGTAAAGCGTAATGGGAGGGGTGTTTAGCCACCTTAAAAATATGTTTGCCTTTATATCTTCAGGGGCATATCTGCTAATTCTGTTTCTCAACATGACTGTGTTTTCCACTTAAATCTTTGGGAATTGTGGATACTCAAAACTCTAAAGATTCAATCTATATTAGAGAGTTGAAGGCAGGTCACTCAGAGGAAACATCATAGAAAAACAAATATTAACTATGAGATATTCTCAAGTGAATCTTTTAGAGTTAAACAAAAATGAGCCAAATTGGAACCCAATATGGAAATGTATCCAGCACACCGTGAAGTATATACAGACATACACTTTTGGTTTTAAAAATGGTGATCATTGAAGTGTTGAGTCTTTCCTAAACTAATGTACAGTATACAGAAAATAAATATAATGAGCATATTTATAATCAGTACTGTAAGAATTATTTATTATTGACACAATTTAAAATAATTATTAGTAATAGTAATTGCATTATTGTTATTCCTAGAAGCATTCACAATAGACAAGCACCCTATTGTGTTATTCTGATCATGGAACAATAAAATTGCCTCTGCCATAGGTATTTCTAATTTTGTACAACCTAACCTCTGTAAAAGACAGGAGACAAAATGTGACTACAGTGGGTATCAGATGCACATTCAGTATGCTTTGATACGTCATGTTCTACCAAGCATCCAGAGAAGAAATGTATGCTTATATTACACTGTATTTTAAAGATTGTATATGCATCACAATAACAAAAGCACTTTGGAACTGCCTGATAAAGCGGCTGATGTTTTTGCACTTTTAAACTTATTTGTGCACCTGAGACCTATGTGGAGATAGACTCACAATGGTGCAAATTACAGTTATGCTCAGTTGAAGAATATTTCACTTATTGCTATTATTTCACTTCTTCCCTTTGTCTGTCTTGGTTTTTCTCCATTCTTTGTTGTCTTCTACCCCTTCTTGATACTCTAGACTGAATGCCTTTTTCTTCCAATTTTGCTTTCTTTTTCTTGCACAAACATTCTCCATACTGTTTGCAACAATCCTCCTACATGTAGTTGGCAAATAAATAGACTTTATTGTCCTTTGGTTCTGCTGTGAAATGCTGTGCCATTAGAATTTAACTATCTATCTTCTTCCTTTGTGACTGTTGTTTTGCTCATCTATCCAGCACTACGCTGCAAGTTAGCATGATTTTTGTTTTGCCTTTTACTGCTATATACAAACAAATGAAACATGCATCACTCTGCCAGATGATGCCATTCATGTTCCCTTTTGAATCCACTCAGCTTTATGGTCTCTGTCCTTACCTAGATTAACTGGATACAGGTTTTCATTTGCCTGTACAGTGTTGGAATATGAAGCATGCTTCCCTGGAAACTTTAAATGTCTGAAGCAATCATTTACACATACAGCATTGTCACCAAAAGGGCATATATTTTCAGTTGAAGTGAAAACCAAAATAAAAATCTCTACCTGTTTGTTTGACAATATTTGGATTTAAAACACTCTAAGAAAACCCTTGTGTTTCATTTCAGAGACCAAAATTAATTTTTTCCTATAAGAAATCTGGATTGCAATAGAATCTCACTTTTAGACTAACTGTATTCACCAGAATAACAGTTTAGAACACTTCAGAATTCTGCTGAAATATTTACTTCTAATTGCCATGCAAAACACTTCTGCCGTTTCCACTGGGTAGGGCAAAAAGGACTCCATTTTAGCATAGATTCTCCTCACCAGTCAAGAACATTTGGATCGTTTTAATCATTCTGTTCACAACTCTGACTTTCTCCTCAAAGCTATTCATAGGAATTTCTTCAAACTGTTATTTTTTCCTGACAGATGCCCATTCAATATTCTCTCCTCTCTCCTCCTCTCCCCCCTTTGCCCTTCCCTTTCTCTGCTCTCTAGCCTTGTTCCTAAACTGAATGCCAAGGTATTTGGAAATAGGAAAAATACGTACATGTGTACATATGTGTACATATTCACATACTTGCTTACTCACATATGTACCTGGTTTCACAATGTGTTGTTGGGACACTTCAGTTAATGAAACTGCAGCTCCTGTCCTCAGCCTGTTGTAGGAGAAAAACTCCTAAGCTGTAGCCAGCTGCTTTCTAATGCTGATTTCTAAAATATTGCACCAAATGAGATCCAATAGCAGTATGCAACACACAGCATGCTGACAATTTTTACTAAGACTGTAGTTACTGATCTGTTTGGATAATATAGCTTAAAATTGTCCTGGTTTTAAAAAGTCATATGTATGTTTGATTATGTTTTTACTGTCTACTTTTAACTGGAAGCTATAATATTAATAATTAATAGGAATTGTGTACATAACGACATTCAGGAATTTTTAGGCACTTTGATGTTTTTACAGAGGCATTATTACTTTTTTCTTTCAGAAAGAAAAACAATAGGTGAGAGAGAATGTGACTTGCCAAAAGGTCATACCGCAAATATTGACAAAATTGACATTGAATGAAATCTTGGCTTCTGTGAAATCAAAGGCAAAGCTCAGAGAGACAACAGTGGGCTCTCATCCCAGACTCCTGTCCTGACTAGATGCTGCTGAGAAAGACTGAAGATAAAATGTGTTACTAGAATGTAGTTGGGGTATTTTAGAACTTCATGCTTTTATTCACAGCTGAACGCTTTCTGAGTATGATATATTACTGTGCCCTGTTATTGCACTGGCTCTCATGTGGTGGAGCTCATGTTTGAAAATACAGCTGGGTTTGAAATATGTCCTTTTTTTCCTCTTTTGCAGAGCTGAGGGATGAACTGGATACATAAACAAATGTTCATCAGCATAATCACAGACTTGTGTGACACTGGAAAAGTTATTTTTCTGTAATTAAAGTGGGATAAAAAGTTGTCGTGGTTTAAGCCCAGATGGTAACTCAGCACCATGCAGCCACTCACTCACACACACTCCCCTCCAGGCAGGATAGGGAGGAGAATCGAAAGAATGTAAACCCCACAGGTTGAGATAAGAACAGTTTAATTACTAAAGTACAATATAGTACTACCAATAACAATGATAAGGGAAATAACAAGGGAAGAGAATATAAAACTAAGAGGGGAAAAAAAACCAATAAACCCAAGTAATGCACGACACAATTGCTCACCACCTGCTGACCTATATTCAGCCCAAGTGACAGGTCCCTTCTGGGTGCCTCCCCCAGTTTATATACTCACCATGATGTGCTGTGGTATGGAATAGCCCTTTGGCTAGTTTGGGTCAGGTGTCCTATCTCTGCTCCCTACTGGCTTCCTATGCCCTTCCTCACTGACAGAGCAGAAGAGACTGAAAAGTCCTTGATCAGGGTAAGCATTACTTAGCAACAACTAAAACATTTGTGTGTTATCAGCATTGTTCTCAGACTAAAGCTAAAACAAAGCACTGCACCAGCTACTGGGGAGGATAAAAAATAACTGTTACAGCTGAAACCAGGACAAAAGTGTTTAAGTAACAGTTACTGGGACTAGACGTATCTGTGGATACTGCTTTTTTCTACCATGTCAGACAGAAAGCTAGTGGTAACCATAGAATTATTTAAGGAAACGAATCATGAGAAGTGAGAAAAAGAATCTGAAATGTTTAATGCTAAATTTAAGGATACAGAAAGATACTAAAACTCCACATAGAAGGCTGGCACCAAAGGCTTTCAGTCTTTTCAACCTGATTATTTAACATTGACAAGTATTATCACACATCTCATGCTTCATGCTCCAATTTAAATCTAGCCTAACTTACATGTCAGTAAATATATGTCTGACGTCAGTCTGGATCTTAGTATCCTCTTTTTATTAGATATTTACCTCGCGTTTCTATCAAACATCTCTATCACTGCATTCAAATATACTTACTAAAGATAACATGTGCACTTCCACAACAGATGCCATCATCACCATTTCATTTTCACTTGGTGTAAATATTTTTTAAACTTTAGCTAACATATCTTTTTCCCTTCAAAAGTTTTCTCTTTGAAACTTTGGGTTTGTTTTTTTTTCAGAGTGCTAATCTTTCTTCACAAGATTCTGCCTAGCAGAATCTTTCTGCACAAGATTTTGCTAATCTTGTGCAGAAAGGTTGAAATATGTTAGTGATAAATTTATAGAAACCTTTTAGAATATTGGAAAATGATGGTACAGTTAAGAAAAATAAAGCAGGCCAAATGATGATCAGGTTTTTCAAATGTGTTTGTAATGAGTGGGAAAGTAAAAGGTTACCTGAATGGCATTTGTTACATTCCATCCGGCTTCCCAGCTGGTGATCAGTTTGACCTGGGCATGTGGCAGGGGAGCTGGGGACTTGTATTCTGGATCCTGGTGGCAAACGTCAAGCTCAAAGTTCACAGGTCCATCTGGTTTCTCTCTGTCCTTGCTAAGAGCTCTGTTCAGTTCATCTCTTCTAGCAAAATTCACATGCTCTTCATCAGTGTCTAGACAGCTGTCCCATCTCACCATTCTAAAAAAGAGAGATGGTGTTTCCCTAAAGCAGCTGAAAAGAGATGAAAAAGTCTGCTTCAGGTGAGCCATCCTGTATATTAAAGTAAAATCTTTCCTTACATGTCTTTATTGTTTTCAGCACTTGTATATTGTTAAGCCGTTTGTTAGATGAGCCCTGATATTGTAGTTTGTTGTCTTTTGTTCATTTATTTGTGCTGGTTTCAAATGGCAGCTAAGGAAGTATCTCCAACATACTGTCCAGAGTACTCTGCAGTGAGATTTCGGAGTCTGCAAGCTGCAATTTACAATTCAAATCCTTTTTCCTTTTACCTATGATATCCATGAAGATCAGTCATTCATGAAGCATCTACACGTAAATACAAGAATCTATTCCTGGAAATTATGCATGTTTCTAATACAAATAAATAATTCTGCCAAAAGGAAAAAATGCTTCATTAAAAAATGGAGTTGATTGACTGACTGCTACATAAATGCATGTAAACAAGTTCACTTTTCCAGATGTGAGAATTTTTTGCTGTGTTTTAGTGTCTACAGAGGTCAGTAGAACTTTAAAAATGTTCTTAAAAAAGCTCAAAGTTGCAAGAAGAAAAAAGTAGCTTGTTCATTATTATATCTGCTTCACAGTTGCTGGTGACAGCCAGAAGAATGACATAGAGCTGTGATTCTGTGTTTACTGTATGGATGTAAATTGTGACACATTATGGTTAATCATACTGCAAGTCCTGAAAATAAAATTTACAAAAGTATCCTTTCCTTGCATGGGCCATGGACTTTGTGAAAGAAACGTAAAGAGAGAGAGTTTGGTTGCACTGTTGTAGAATTATTAATCCTCATTTTCTGTTGTTGTTTCCCATGCCTGCCCTACATTCCTCTTCTCTCTGTTTCTTTGATAAGAGTACTGGGTTTTAACAGCTAAATTTCTACTTTAAGAACTGAATAAGTGATACAATGCTGCTTATCATGCTGACAAAGTATTTGCTTATAAAGGGTCTGAATAAGACCATGTGAGTTCAATTACAGTCCTTGCTTGCACTAGCATGTCTTTTCCGTTGGCTGAAATTTCAGGAATTCTCAAATTTGTAAGTAAGTTTATATTTTTGAACTAGAATTCTGAACTCGTGACTCTTCTGCCAGATATATATGAACTGCAGTCTCACTAGGAACTTTCATTTTTCAATTAAATAGAAATAATGTCTTGCCTATTTCCAAAATGAAATACCCTTCATGCAGGCCTTGTTGTCTCTTTTTTTTTTCTTTTCTTATGTACTCAGGATTAAATAACAATGCAAACATCTCTATTCTGTCTTTAATGATCAGACACTGAAATTTCTCTTGTTCTTATCACATAACTAGTTTTCTGAAGCTTTTCACAGTTTATCCATCTGTTAAAAAAAAAAATAAAAATTTCAGAAATAATACCAGTACAGAATCATGTTCCTCTGCCTGCCTTGTTCAAGTCTCATCACTGGTACCTGTATGTGCCATGTCCATGGGTTTATAGCTGGATGCTCTAGAATATTTATTTTACAGATCGTGAAATCTGCTAATGTTGACCTGAGCTAAATGAGTGGCTCTTGCTTGTCAAAATATCCATTTATTGATATTTCTGAAGACTGAAATGGAAGACAGCGGCCATCTCACAAACGTATCATGATCACCTGGCATGGTCTGGAAGGTGCTTGAGAACACAACTATGGTTTTTACAGCAAATTTTGACCTTGAGTCTTTTGAGTCTTTCTCTCATCAAAGCCATTCCAACAGAAAGCTTCAGGCACATTTCTGAGGGGAACAGCTCTATGATAGGGGTATATATACTGCTTACATCAAGTAAACCTATAGAGTGAAAATAAAAAAAAAAATTACAAATAACATAATAACACAATAAAAGAAGAAATTACAACATTGATTTTCCTAACATATGAAGAATGATCTAAGGTACACAGTCTGTTCTTGAGCATTACTTGTGTAGATGTTTACATTTATGGACAGAAACTTTTTGTTGTCATTGACTTTATTGGGTGTGAAAGGTGTAACCTCATAGCACGCATAATTAGCATGTAAAAAGACTTTTTTCATTAGTTCAATATAGATAAGAACCAGTTTAAAATCCTGAGGATCTGCATTACATTGAAGGCAAAAGTTGCTGTTCATTGTAAATGATGCATAAGAAATTGCATTGTCTAGTGTTTGTAGAATTCTTTTTCTGTCTAAAAGAATTTCTTGAGACAGCAATCAGTGCTGCTTGGTGCCAGATTTTTGTTTTGTTGTTATGTTTATTTGTCTTCTAAGTTTGCCTGGTTTTCCTTGTAAATTAGTCAGGGTTTCATGCAGCTATCTCAAGGGAATTGTAAGAAAATTTAGGAACAGAGATATAACACTTGATGTAGAACCATTTAATTTGCCTGTTTATGGTTACAGAGGAGCTGTCCAGTTTTATCTGAGGCCCTCTGACAACAGTGGAAAGAGTCTCATTTTCAGATCTCTTACCTGTAAGACACATCATATCTGGAAGTCAGAAAAAATAAACAACAGTTAAAAATATTCTTTCAGTTACACAAGAGAACCTCAAAATTAATGTAAGATCTATTTCAAAAAGTACATTTTAGTTATTTTAAATTCACTGCTTCCTTATTTAGTACCAAATACAAATGCAAGTAAGTCTGTAAGTTTCAAGAAACATCTGAATTTTAATAAAATATTTATGTTAGATCTTCCAAGCTTGGTAGACTGCTGGGATTATCTGTTTCAATGAAATATCATTATTAATCCCTGACATACAGCTCAGGACAACAGATATTATCATTGTACAATATTTATTATTATTTATTTGTAATCCTGTTTAGAGATCCTAGCAGCCACCTTTGGTTTAAATGTTTTAAAATCAGATAGCAGGAGACAGCTTCTTTATGAAAGGTTTACAGTTTAACAAGAAAAGACAGACAGAGGCTTGGCAATCTGGGAGTCTATCATTCTTTTTTGTCTACTGGGAATGGATTTTTCATTCTATGTATTACCTGCAGCTTTGATTTTGCAGTCAGTTGGACAAATTATCCTCTTAGTTACACCACTGTACATCTACTGTCTGTTTCATTGATGTAAATAATGAGCAAAGGAAAATATATCAAATCTGATTCTACTATTGCATTAATAACTGCTGTCTAGATGACTGCAGCGAATTTCATATTTATTGTACTACTTCCAGGCCATCAGAAATAAACAGTAAAGGCAAGAAATGAGAACTGAACTCAGATGAAGGGTAGTCCAGTTCTTCACCTTTCCCATGTACTTCTGCTAGACATTCTTTCTACAGATGCTCCTTACCCACGTAATCCAACATTGTAAGTTTAATTAAACGTTATGTCTTGTCTTAGGGAAAAACTTCTTGATTTATGGTAGGCCTGTAAGTATGATTATCATTGTCTTCATCACCTATTCACCTGTATCTATTTCGGTACCTAAATCGGGATTAACATTTTCTCCTTGTAAAGCAGCAGGCTGTCACTGTGACTCATAAGTTTGACAGGGCTGAATTTCAGGAAGAGTGGGTGGAAAAGCTTGGAAAAGACATCTTTCTTGGTCAGTAAGATTTCATATTGCAGCTGCTTATGCCTGAAGGAATGAGGTCTTCAGAGCTGCTGCTTGAGTTGGGCATGCTTTCTTCAAAATAGGTTATGCACTCCAAGGACAGTGTTTCAGAACAGCAATGAAAAGCAGGTCACCAAAATAGTTTCTCAACCTTGTATGCTTCCATGTTACATAGCAAAGTATTTAGAGATCTTTTTATATAATTGTTAATCCTACCTCTTGTTACAATCTCACTTGCACTGTGGGACATGGGTTTGGTTCAAGTGTTGGGGTAGCAAGTAGCATATCGTGGCTGCTTAGCATGCTCATTCACAAGGGAGATCTCCACTAAAAAGGTACCTTAAGTAGTCACCATTCTTAGTCATGAAGCTAGCTTGGGCAAACACAGCACTTGCATGCTTTAAGACATTTTCTTTATAATAAATGTCTGCTTAGAGGATATGAACTGATATTATTTCCCACAATGGAATCATCTTACAACTAAAGGGTGTTTTCAGTCTTTTCATGTCACTGCACTAAGCTTACGAGAAAACCTGGGTCCAAAATCATGAATATTTCAGTTAGGCAAAGAGAGAGCAGAACCATGAAGCTGTACGGTGGAGCAATCAGGAATGCAGGTGGCTACTGAATGTCCATATTGTACAATTTAGGTACATTCTGGCTACCCCACTCTCTAGCACAAGCTCATCAGTGTCCTTTTTGATATTATTTTGGTCCTGTTTTATGGAATTAGTCTAGCTTTCAGTACTGTCTGAATGATTCTAAACTAGAACATAGATGACAGTACAAACTGGAAAAAAAACCACAAAACAAAACCTGAAACAAAAATGTTCAGTTTGACAGGCATATCCAGAAAAAATATCACAGACTATCCATCCAGCCTTTGTCTTGTGCACGTTAATGCTGACTGAGATGAGTAATTTTTTTGTAGTGAAACATGGATTTCAGTTTTGGTACTGTACCTCTCTAATACAAACATTGCAACTTTTTTTCACACTTGTAACTGATGCTTCTTAAGAATTCTCAGCTTTCTTACCAAAATTCATCTTCTCCAGGTGCTTCTGCCAACTGTACAGATTTGGAAAGCAGACGTAGAGAAGGAAAGCACATAATGATAGATAATGATGTTATTAGTTGATTGAATGTTTGTGGAAAGGCTTCTTCATGTTCACTTACATTTGTTTGTATGCTTGTGTTAGGTCTTCTGTATTGTTGCTTGCTCTGTGAATATTACTGTCCTGGGTTCAGCAGTAGCAGTCATTTTTTCTCCTAGTAGCTGGTGCAGTGCAGTGTTTTGACTTTCGGCCTGGGAACAGAGCTGATAACAATGATGTTTTAGTCTGACTAAGGACTTTCTGAGCCTCATGCTCTGCCAGGGAGGAGGGAAAGCCAGGAGGAAGCAGAGACAGGAC